GTGCAAGCGTTCTGATGATCAGCGTAGCATGATGGGTCGTATGGAAAAGGTAATTTTCAGCTCTAACGGATCTTTGTGCTATCACTGATTAGTGGTTGCAGGCCCAGGGTCCGGATTTTCGGCAACGACGTTGAGAGATGTAGAAGTGTCGTAAAATTAGGTGCTTGACGCGCTTCACACCTGGTATGATCAGTTAAATACGTATTAGTATTGAGGAGGCAAGACTTGTATCATTAATACTATCCATAGCATCCTTTTATCATAACAATATTTTCCAGAGCAGGAAACGGGTTTAAATCGAAACTCGACACTCGATACCGGTGATGATGGCCAACTTGAATACAAGCTCGTTTGCGGTGCGAGAGCGCCGCGAGAATAATGGACGTTGAATACTCGAATCTCAAAAATTCGGCGTCCTATAGCACAAACATCCCATATCCGTACTTCACGGGCAGTGACCTTAGCGGAGAGCTACTACTGATGAACACCGTGGCTCTGTTTTCTACTTCCTTTTTGGAAAGACTTTATTTACTTATTTATTTCTAAACGAAAATGGTTATTCAAACAATTCAAAACGAGGTTTATCTCTTTCTTCCTTGATGGAATCTCTCGATGGGCATCTACGACGTTCTGGACGTTGTTTCCCAAAATCTTGCCGCCATCGGAGGCATCACATTTGAAGCATTCGAGGCCTTACCTTACAAGCCACTACCAGATGTTCCTGACGCCTCGTACACAATTCTTCATTTTTCGGCGACAGGTAAATTCCCTGTGAATGAAGAAAAGATACCGGTGAATGCGAACCGGACTCTTCACGAGAAATGTCAGAAGATTTTTGGGAGCACGGGGGCACTCAGGTTTGAATATCTCAACGAAAAATCGGATGCAAGTGCGTAACTAGTACTTTGCCTCATTATCTCATCTTTGATTGTCCCTGGTAGATAAACAGTGTATCCTTACAATAACACGTCCGAATGGTTCGACTCGAAGTTACCAGTCGGACGCAAATTTCAAACGGAAAGCGGAAGCAAAAGCACAGGTGTGCGAGAGGGCTATTGAGCACGATGCACTCAAATTTATCGCTGAAGGAGAGCCCAAGATCTCTGGACATCTCGCTCTGTTGGAAAATGAGGGCAAACTTGATGAAGGAATCCCTGGCAAAGACCCCGGAGTCAAAGCGATAGAGGACTGGTGCGAGGAGAACAAACTTTTGATCAACTGGTATGATGTTACTTCCAAGGACGGAGAGCGTAAGTTAGTACAAATAGCTCCTGTCGTATTGCTGATCTTATCTTGCAGTTCACGGTGCTGCTCTCCGGATCCTTGCGACGTCACATTCATTCCGTGTATACTCCACTGCCACGCTGTACAAGGACGTCCACCGAAGCCAAGGCTGCGTGTGCAAGAGTAGCAACTACCGACGGTGCTCTGAAATTCACTGGAGACGCTTCGCTCCCCGCAGCACCCCCTGTTGGACGGATGTCCATTCAAGAATTCTATGATCTACTCCCCCGGCCTCTTCCCGAGCCCTCACTGGCCAAGCCAAACGTGTCAGAAGTTCAAGCTGTTGGCTGGCTGAATCAGACTGTCCAGTCGACGCGCGGCAGTCAACTACAGGCTGAATACCTGCCTTTCACGGAGAATAGTCGTAGGTTTATCAATTCCTTTTATCTTTCTGCATGTTCATTCTATTGCTAGTGTCAGGTTGTCTCCTCCGTATTGATCGTCCGAATCCTAAGGAATGCAAATCGTACATTGTTGATGCGCGCTTTTACAAACGAGCAGATGCGAAGACAGCCGTCGCCCTAATGGCTATGTCCCAGGGTGTTGGCGAGTGGTTGAAGAAGGTGACGAGAGACGTCAGCAAGATAACACAAGAGATGAAGAGGATCAAAGATTCTTTTCTGCCGAAATTGAACAAGGAGTGTCAGATTTCCAACGGCGAACAGCCCACATTTGAGTGCAAGGATCAACGGGATGGTAAGTTCAATCTTTTCTCCCTGACTGACCTGTCAACTTATTCGATGTCGCAGCATGGTCGTGTACACTAACAGTTAACTTGTCTCCGACTAAAGGCCAGCGAGATCTTCGAGAGTTTTATGTGCCAACACAGTATCGCAACCAGTCCGACGCCAAGGTCGCGGTGTGCTGTAAGGCGGCGAACGAAAATCTTATCGAGCTCCTCCGTTTCCGAAGAGAGCCTTCCCTTCCCCAGTATTTGGAAGCGAAGAAGCGGAAACAGCAGGATGACGAGGTCGAACCTTCCAATAAGCGGCAGAAGGTGGCCCAGTCACAGGCACAGCTATCGAACGACAACAGGGTGAAAGTGCAGAACGCGCATCTTCCAGCACGTCCTCATCCTCATGGTCGATTTCCGTATCCTCCTCCCAGCTATCCTCGATACATGGCTCCTCCGTCCCCGCCGTCGTCAAATCCGCCTTCGTTCACCCCCTATGTGCCGCTTCAGCGTCCATATAGAGCCCCTCCGCCTAACCACCGGCCTTAGTGCGACCAATATTTACGTCTTTTGACTTCAGGGTTTTGAATTTGTGCGGCGTAGCGTGGGCTTGTACTACACGTCGCGAATGTATCTGGACTTCACTGCCACTTGTATCACTGCATTGGCAGTCGTTTATAATGGTGATACATGGATGCCGATGCCGTGCTGAACCTAGTTGCAGCATCTGTCACCTGGCTGTGGCTCGGATACTCAGATGCATTGCAGCTCATTCATTGTCAATCAATTTGTTTCGGGTCCGAGGCACACCTATCTGAATGATGAGAACTGTTTAGTCCTGTCAACAACTAGATATTTCGCGCTTTTTTAGGCTCAAAGACGTAGGAACCTGACAGCCGAAATGAACTTGGAATTCTTTTTCCGTATCTCGGTCCTTTGCTTTCAAGGGCCCCCGCAAATTCATTCTGTTATCAGATCATTCTGGGCAAGTCTTACCTCATTTGCTTCCGTCACTTGCTGATGCTTAAGCACAGAATCCGCACGCTGGCGAATGAGGAACGGCCCACTTCCGGCAGGTGGTGTTATATTTATGGGTCTATATTCACACCAAACTGCAATATACGAATCTGAATCAGTCAATGTCGAAATCACGTCATTATGGTGAGATGGGATGCTATATAACGCGCCTCCTAGTCCTGAACACCGATATTCATTGACCACCAATACTTATCTCAATGGTCGACCAGCACAAATCCCTTCGTCTTGGCAGCATCGCCCCCGATTTTGAGGTGGAGACCACGCTAGGCAAAATCAAGTTCCACGAGTGGTTGGGCAACTCTTGGGTATGTCTTGACCTGATACCTTTTGTCGATACCGAAACGAATCTGTGTGTAGGGCGTCCTTTTCTCCCATCCAGGAGATTTTACCCCTGTCTGCACGACTGAGCTAGGAGAAGTCGCTCGGCGCGCGCCTGACTTTGCCAAGCGCAACGTCAAGGTCATTGGTATCTCTGCAAACGGTCTGGAGGAACACCACAAGTGGATTAAAGACATTGAAGAATATGGAGGTAAAACGACGGGTCCTACCAATGTCGAATACCCCATCGTGAGTATCGGGTTTATTTACCGGTCCATGTTTCTTGTATTGAAGCGACGTCGTTCAGATTGCCGATGCTGACCGCAAAATCTCCTATTTGTACGACATGCTGGATTATCAGGATGTTACCAACAGAGATGCGAAAGGACTGCCATTCACTGTACGTTGCCACTTGCATGTCTGACGCGCATTCCCGTACCGACACAATAAGTATAGATCCGCACAGTTTTCATCATCGACCCCAAAAAGGTCATCCGCCTGACCATCTCTTACCCCGCAGTAGCCGGACGCAACTTTGTATGTTCTGCGTCTGTCCGTCGTTCATGCTTGTGTCTGATGTATTGTGTTCTTAGGACGAAATCATCCGTGTCATTGATGCTATCCAACTGGGTGATAAGCACCGTATTGCCACGCCAGTTAATTGGAACAAGGGTGACGACGTTATCGTTCACGCTAGTGTCAGCAATGAGGAGGCAAAAACCTTGTTCCCTGAGCACAAGGTCCACTATGTGTGTACTTTATCCGTTCGTGGATTGACCGGTGATCTGACATTCCGTTTCCATAGCCTTACCTTCGGACGACACCTTTGAAGGTAGATTAAACGGCGGTGATAAGTTGTCGATTTTTATACTCTATGTGTAGTAAGCCATGTACATGTAACAAAGAAACTGGGAGCGATTTTGGCATTCCTTGATCTTTAAGCCATCGGTAAACCCGGCTTGCTGAGAAGCGTTGGGCGTCGAGCGTCGAGGAGAGAATGATATTATTAAAGTCCGGCGTCACTCTAAGGCGCTATGAGGTGATCACCTACCTATGAACAGAAGGTTTTAAGCCCGGCTTTAGAAAAGGACAGTGACTCCCAAGCACATTCAATACGGTTACTACTCTATATACAGCCGAGGCCTAACAGTATCGCGTTTGAATCCAGGCTGCCAGGGCCTGGAATGATACCGAGTAACCGAGACTCGGGTCGTTATCGATGGATGATGTATGTGGCCCATACACACAGCTTCCTTGGGTTGTGTCTGAGGATTCTCTGGGTAGAGTGTTAGCGCGTGCTCCTTCAGCATCATCCAACATATATCGTTTGCACCCATGCATCTGATATGTTCGACTCGAAGCGCAGGTCGTATCGGGATCACTCAAACTATAGTCACTTGTTATTCTAGGTCTGGGATATCAGAAAAAGCGGACAGAATTCATTCTCCTCAGCGAGACGTGCGGGAAAGGGTTTGGAGACGAAATACTGTATGGCTTCGTTCTTGCCTTGCAGTCCAGTACCGGGATGCGCTATTGAGGGGTGCTTGGCATTGGAGATTGGCAGCGTCGCACCTTGGAACTTGGTACTAATAGTCAGGGTTGAGTCAGGACTGAGTGGAGGTGTGAGTGGTCATGCATCGCGTAGCACGAGGTGCCATTTCGGCATGGAGCAAGAACCTTTCAGCATGGCCTTATGGTCTAGTCGCATGATTCCTCGTTTGGGTTAAAATTCGAGGAGGTCCTGGGTTCAATTCCCAGTGAGGCCCTTTTTGCCTGTCATTGAAAACTTGGGACATAAATAAATAAATATTCTAACTTTTTATGTCTTAGAAAGTGCACAAATTCAATGGACTTTCTCATTCACATCATCCATGATGTAGTTGAAAGACCCTTTGAGAAATCGCTTCGTCATATATTTCGTTAGCTTATAAAGACTGGTAAGTGTCATATGCTCTCTTTCTTCCCAACCTCATCATGTCTTTACCTCCCAGGAAAATCGGGGACGCTTTGGTTAATCCTATCGGCTTTGGTGCCATGGGACTCAGCAACTTCTATGGGTCAGTAGACTCTGACGAGGAGCGATTCAAGGTCAGCTCCTTCTCATACATGTGGATGCTCACTGACGCGTAGTATAGATTCTGGATGCTGCATATGAGAAAGGATGTAGACACTGGGACTCTTCCAACGTTTACGGAGACTCCGAACTTCTTATCGGAAAATGGTATGCCCAGTATCTTTCTTTACGAAGTAGACTGACACCAATAAGCACATGTTCAAGCGAACGGGTAAACGAAACGAGATCTTCCTTACTTCCAAGTTTGGCATCACCCCGAATGGACCTCGGGGCGATCCCGAGTACGTCAAGGAGCAATGCGCCAAATCCCTTGAGCGCTTTGGGGTCGATTGCATTGACCTGTACTATCAGCACCGGTATGTGATTCATCGAAGCAGTCGCTGTAGCGCTTTTCACCACTGAACAGACCCGATCGTAATATACCGATTGAAGTTAGTCCGTTCCTTTCTCCTCTATGTCCTCTCTCTAATTATTTTCAGCATACCGTTGCCGCGATGGCTGAACTCGTCAAGTGTGTTCATAGTCTTAACCGTCTCATACTTATATAGCCATTGACTACTCTACTAGGGAGGGAAAAGTGAAGTACCTCGGCTTGTCAGAGTGCACAGCCAAGGACCTTCGCAGAGCGCATGCTGTCCATCCAATCTCTGCCATTCAGGTCGAATTTTCTCCCTTAGTTCTCTATATCGAGGATTCGAAACTCGCGATTTTGCAAACAGCTAGAGAGCTAGGTGTCACGGTTGTCGCGTACTCTCCATTAGCTAGAGGACTTATAACCGGTCAATACTCGTCTCCTGATGATTTTGAAGAAGGAGATTTTCGGAAGACTATTCCGAAGTGCGCATTCTCGAGTTTGCCTGCCTTACACCGTAATCACGACAGAGTTCTGACAGGTATTCGAAGGAGAATTTCCCTAAGATTCTTAACCTTGTCGATCGTTTGAAGGTTATTGCAGCAAAGCATCACGCGACGCCTGGACAAGTTACCCTCGCTTGGATCCTTGCACAAGGCGATGACTTCGTCGTTATTCCTGGCACAAAGAAGATCAAGGTAATCATGTAGTGCTATCATGTTTCATTGTCTTACACTCACTTTTCTCCCAGTATTTGGAAGAGAATCTAGGAGCGGCTAAGGTTAAGCTCAGCCAAGAGGAAATTGCTGCGATTCGTAAACTTGCGGAAGAATGCGGTATTCCTGGTGAAAGGTATGCCACAGCCGGGATGGCAGCGGTGTTGCAAGGAACGCCCGAATTATCCAAATAGTTTTTTTTCCTCGGATGAAGGACCAGGCATGAGGTGATATGTATGATTATATCGTGTAAATAATGATGATAGGTGTAGTGCCAGAATCCTGCGAAATGAGACCTTATTTTTATGGACACGACTCAGTCGGCGATCGACCCCTCACCCGAGAATTATCAAGCCAAGTGCTTCAGCCCTGGCATTAGTCATGTTATAATTAAGCGTATGGGAACCAACAGAGCAGTCTTCATCAGCTAGATTTCGGGGGCTGAATGATAAAGACCCTGGCCGACTAAGCTAGAATTGATATAAGTATGATTAGACGCACGTCGTTAATCAGTTTCTCAGAAGTACCATGGCCTCTAATGTCTCGAAGATTATCTTTGTGCGTTTGTTTCCCGCCGATAATTAAGGTGTACTAATTTCTTTGCTCGAGGTCACCGGCGGTACTGGCTTCATTGGGTTCCACGTCCTTGTTCAACTACTAGAAGCTGGATATACGGTTCGAGCGTATGTGCATTCATTGTGGAATGTTTCACTGGGACTAAAAGCTCTAACAGCACAGCACGCGGCAAGAAGGCAGCCCTTCTCCGCAACGCGCTCGGCACGACGTATGACAAACTACAAGTCTTAGAAATTCCGGACATCTTCTCCGATGATTTGAGCAAAGTCCTGCAAGGTTTGCTTTAATGGCTTGTGAAACGTAAAACTGCAGCTTTATCCTCGACTCCAGGTGTGTATGGAATCATACATCTTGCAGCAACGACCCCGGGGAAGGCGAACGCTGCAACGTCTTATCGTGTATGTATTTATTGAAATTTGTGTCGTGGCTCCTCATACCAAGTGTTCGATTCAAGCTTGCAACTGAAGGATCTCGTCATATTTTGCGCGAAGCCATTAAGGCTGGTGTTAAACTGTATAGTAAACACCAGTACCACTGTGGCATATCCTCCAGGAGGACCGTACGGTGTGGACGGTAAGTTTATCACATTCGGAACTAAGAGGTGGCTCTAATGATCAACCTAGACTGGTTCTCTATGACGCAGGAAGAAGTCAGCGCAACGAATAATTCCTTCTTGATCTACCAAGGCTCCAAGACTGCCGCAGATCAGGCTATGCTGAATTTTCCAAGGATCATCTAGAGCTAGATATTTCCTTCGGTAGGGGGAGACTATCTGCTCGTCACAATTCATCGAACTGACGAATACCCTACAGTTGCCCCACATTTCACCTTTGGTCCCCTTGCTCCCGGATTTGAACACATGTTACTAGAGCCCGAGTACAAAGCCCTCTCTACCAACGGCTTCATATATGCCCTCCTCCGCCCCGATAACGTCCACTTTGCCGTATTCCCGGGAGCCATCGACGTCCGGGACGTTGCTCGTGCGCACCTCCTCGCCCTGGAATCTCCGCCTACATCGGTGGTCGGCAGGAAGAGATCCCCTTTGGTCTCCCCTTACCAATCGTCTTATAAAGACGCTATCGACATTATTGCGAAGGAACGCCCAGAGTTGAAGGACCGTCTGGTCCATCCGTCGAAGGCGCCAGAGTGGCCTTCCTATACGATCGAAGTCGATAGAGAGCTGGTCGAGAAGCAGATTGGGCTCAAGGTGAATTCATATATCCCTTGGAGGGATACCGTGCTAGATGCTGTGGATAGTCTAGTTCGGATCGAGAATATCTGGAAGGCGAAAGGGTTTGTAGTTGCGGTACCTGATACTCCTCCGATGTAAAAGGCTGCTGACGTTGTATAAATGGAGACCGCAAGAATGTAATGCTCGTTTCCCCATTTCTTCAGGTTTTCATCGATGCTCCCGGTGTTGGTGGGCATACCGCCCATCTAAAAGCTACTCTCTTCACATCCATGCCATCGCTGTACGTGATCCACCGCAAGTTCGGAACGATCTCTGGATGCTCAAGGAAAAACAAGCCCAAGTTCGCCCGTGCATCCGTCATAGGATCCTTCAGCCCCTCTCGCTTGGACACGTCGAACGTTATACTCCGGCATAAGACATTCGGCAAACCCTGATTCAAGTTAAGAATCCGAGTGATAGCTGCTTCTCCGCAAAGCAAACGGCGGAAATGCATGATGAACGATAGTGTCGGTACGGACACGTCACGCCAGGATACGCGAAGAAAGAGTTCAGCCCACGCGTGATTCACAAGGACGGAGGACGTGATGAGATGGACACGTTCGGCGGTGGTAAGTTTGAGGGACCACAGAGAAAAGATGATTTGCTCGAGGATTTCCGGGGGGAGTTTAGTTACGATGTTGAGGGTCATGTCGTTGGAAGAGGAATACTTGCTTAGAGCACTCTTGTAGGGGTCAGCGCCCGTATATAAGGCGCTCAGGGTCCGGCCTTGTCTGAGATCCGAAGCTTGTCGCGCCCTGATCGCTTCAGGCATAGTCGAAGCCACCTCATATCCTTCAATCCAGCGGTCACGGAATCTTTGAAGTTGAAGTTGCACGCCAAAGGACTTTTGTTGCGATATCATCCATGCTGGGATAGTCGACTAAGGTTTTTCGTCTCACTAGTGCTGAATGTACCGAACATGAGGAAACGGAACGTAAAATCCTTTTGACGGCTTGTTGAACAGCCTAACGAACGGCTGGCATGAAGTCAACTTCTTGAAGTGTTGTTCCACCTACTCGAGACAGCGACGTATGTTGATGGTATCCTGTTGACGGGTCTTATTATCTGACGACAAGGGCCCTTTTTTCATTCGGCTCATTGCTAAAGGAGGTTCAGCTCATACAGCATTGCCGTCCATACACTTCTCATTGATTTGGCTCTTACCCTCTTAGTACCATTCATTGTGAATCTTGCTCTAAACGTATTCTCGCTTGAAAACTTGAACTTGAGCTTGAGGCTTGAAGTGTATATCCCGCCTTATATCCGAAGATGTTGACTAGTTCCGAGCCGGAGACAGGCGGATCAGCCGAACAAACGCGCACGCGACTGAACGCGTGGTGAGGTGAGGCCACATGACTGTGACGATGCTACGTTGATTTATGTATGGTTACACAAATGGCGTGTGAAAATAAATGTGTGGTTGCACTGTGAATGATGATGATGCTGATGCTGATGCCGATGATATGATGAAATGAGAATGCGGCAAATCAAACGCCGGGGTAGCTATTGTGTCCGCCTCCTTGACCTCGGTCTCTCTTCCTGCGCGGCATCATGCGAGTCCTCGGTATTTTCTCTCTTTCGCGTCAAAGGGGACGATGAACCTGCGACAGCCGGTGCCGGGTCGGGCGGAGGAGCAGGAGGTTGGACGGGAAGGATTGCAGATAGTACAGGTTGTGGTTGCGGAGGAGACGAGTCAGGTAGAGAAGCAGGAGGTTGGATGGGAAGGATTGCAGGTAGTACAGGTTGTGGTTGTGAAGGAGTCGAGTCGGGCAGAGAAGCAGGAGGTTGGACGGGAAGGGTTACAGGTACCGGTTGTG